CTTGCAACATAGACCACAGCTTGCATGGGGGCATGACCAGGCAACAGTCAGGCTGTTCTTGTTTCAGGCGTTTGAAGAAGGCTTTGCGATGACTCGCAATGTTGAAGTCCCAACCATCTTCTAAGGAAAAACGTTCAGCTTTGCAACCATTTCGTCTGTTCGCTGTCTTGGTCACTCTGCCAGCACCTGCAAAAATCTCCCAAATGACGTAAGGCTTCTTCTTTCCAACATTTCCACCAGTTGAAGCGCAAGACAAGATTCGATCAAACTCCTTCTTGTCCTTGGCAGTCAAGTGCATGAGATGTCGTAGTTTGCCCGGTGGAAGGCTGCACAAGTCATAGTCAGGGCTCTTGTGCTCGTTCTTGGGCTTGTCCAACTCAGCCACATCATCTTGCACAGGTGGTTGTCCTGCCACTGTCATTGGAGTCTCATTGCATTCGCCAGCATTGGTTGTTGAAGTGAAACTTGCATCGTGGGGTTCTTTGAGATCATTGTCGCTCTTGTGCTCTGCAAAAATCAAATTCGGTGAAACTTGCTGTCGATCTTGTTGTAGATCTTGGTCAGCATCGTGATTGGGCTCCACAGCCAGGATCTCCTCGTTGTCCAACAACTGATCCATGCTGTGCTGTACGGGTTGCACATGGCTGTCAAAGTCCTCAGGGAGGAAGACGAACTGGGGTTCCACATCCAGCAAACCATGTACATCAGCTGCCAGGTGAATGATGTACTCACCCTTCAAACCTCTCTCTGCTGGGATCCAAGGGTCGGTTCCAAACCTGATCTCTCCTTGGGCATAGTTGACACTTAAGTCCATGGCCTCCATCAAGGGCCGTCCCAACAGAATTGGCGCCTCGCCTTCAATGACATAGGCCAAGAAGTCGCGCCGCACACCACCAAAGAAAGTGGGGAGGAGTGTGCACCATTGCGTGGTGTTCATGTTGCCATTTCCAAACCGAAAACCTTTGCTGCAACGCCAGACAGGGATTGCATCCACCTTGAAACCAACTGCTTTGAGAAAGTTGACATATTTTCTGAGTTGAAACTTTGATGCAATCACGGAAGCTGCACCACAATCCAACATCGCTGCATCTGAGCTCTCGTCAAGCTTCAGGGTAGATTCTGCAAATGTTACCATCATAGCATCACCTGCCTCAGTCTCTGCTTTGCGTTTTCCCGCTCCAGCCGTCGGACAGTCTCGTGCCCAATGGCCTGCTTGTCCACATCGAAGGCACTTGCTCGCACCAACTTTTGAACTTCCAAGGGCTGCTCGACCACGTTCTTTGGGGCGTGGAGGAGGTCGAGGCAATTGTTTGGACTTGGTTTTACCTTTGCCCAAAACATGCTTGCCCTTTGAAGATCCTTTTCCACCATGTCCTCGGCCGTCTGGTGCCAAAGCCACAACTGGGAAAAAGCCGCGTGAGACACGAAGCTGTGCCAGTTTCTGCTTTGCTTCGACATAGTTTGCCAACACCTCGTCGTACTCGGTCGCTGCATCCTCATGGGCTGCATATGTCTCTTCACATTCATCATCCTCATAGTATGCTGCTCCCTCATCTGCCCATTGGATGTCCTCTTCATCAAGTTCCCATTCATCCCAATCATCATAGTATTCAGCATCGTCCTCGTAGTAGATGGAGTCTTTGCCATTGCGATTCCATCGTCCTGCATTGGAAGAATGTGCATCAGGAACTGTGTCTTGACCGATGACGAAGTTCACACCTTTGCGGACAGTCTCCAAAGAAAGCTTTTCACCATCCATAGTGGTCATGATCATTTGTCTCTGTTCTTTGCTAAGTCCAGCTCTCCTCAGATACCACCATCCGACAACTTTGTCAGGTAGTTGAACTTGGTGTTGTTGCAACTTTCGCAACGCTCGTTCAAATTCTGCAGAATATTCTTGGATGTTCTGGGACTTGCGTCTCGAAAGACCAATGAAGAACGTCTCAAAGTCTGCAGGTAGTTCAGTAATGGCATCGAATTTGAACACTCGATCCAGTCGCTCCAAAATCAACTTCATACCACCGTCGCCCTCAAGCTCTTGCATGCTGATATCTTCACAGGCATCCCAAGCTCGTCCTTTGAGTGAGCTAAGGACATTGAAGGAAGTCTCGCCACCCCTGTTCGCCAGTTTCATCTTCTTGTCATACAACATGAGGCGTTTTCTGTACTCCTTGTAGTCACTAGCTTTTCCAGAAAACTCAGGGATATGTTCATGAGCTTTACCAGCATATGTAGTGCTCGCACCCGATCCAGTTGCCATCAGATCAACTCTGGCCTGCACAAGACCAAGAATCAGATGTTATAAGGACCTGCTCAGGGTCAGCACTTGCAAAAGTAGTGCAACGCAGTAAAGGGACCTGCTCAGGGTCTGTAGACGAAGTTCTTGGACCTGCTCAAGGTCAAGACTCAGCACAGGCCTGCTCAGGACCAAAGTTCAGTCAGTAGTTTGGAGCTCCTTGGACCTGCTCTGGATTCCACCAACAGCTCCGCCGCCAACTTCAGGATTCCCGTGGACACACTAAGTTCCAGGACCAGATGGATACGGCTCCAAGCCGGGGTAAAGGAGGCGCAACGCGATCTGGCTCGAAACAGCTGTTTTCCCTCGAGATCTCGAACCCACCACTGCTGCTGCAATGTGAAACGTAAACATGCCGGAATGACCAAAAGGTGATATGTATGAACATGCATGAAATGGTCAGCGAACATTTGACAGCAGCATTTTAGAGCTGGATGCATGGAATTTGCAGCAGTTTGGAGCTGGAAGCTGCCGTTGAGCCTCTCGTTTTCGATGGAATTTGCAACATTTTGTCGTTTTGGTGCCCGAACTGTTTCTGTAACATGGTAGTTTGCAACTAGGGTTCATTTAGGGTTGGTTTAGGATTAGATTAGGGTTTTTGTTTGGTTTTAAGTTTTAAGGGTCAGTTAGTTTAGGATTTTTTTTAGGGTTTATTTCGGCTTGGTTTAAGATCTATTTATAGTTGGTTTAGGACGGTTAGATCACTTAAAGCACCGGAAAGCGGATCATTTAGAGCACCAAATCGCTTAGAGCACCATGGGATCACTTAGAGCACCAAAAAGTGGATCACTTAGAGCACCAAAGAATGAAACCTTTAGGGTTTAACTTGGGGACACGGGGCTGGTTTAGGGGACAAGTCGGGACACGGGGCTGGGACATGGGGTGGGTTTAGGGGACATGCATGGTGGGTTAGAACCAAAGAATCATATCTTTGGGGTTTAACTCAGGGACAGGGGGCTGGGACATGGGGCGGGTTTAGGGGACAAGTCCGGACACGGGGCTGGAAGGGGACAAGCATGGTGGATTAGAACCAAAGAATCACATTTTTAGGATTTAACTTGGGGAAGGGGGCTGGGACAAGCGGGGAAACCGGGCTGGGACATGGGGTGGGTTTCAGGGACAGGTGGCTGGAACTGGGACATGGGGTGAGAGGGTGGCTGGGAGTGGGGGACAAGCATTGACAAGCATGGTGGATCAGAACTAGAGAATCAGACCTTCAGGGCTTAACTTGGGGACACGGGACTGGGACACGGGTTCGGTTACTTGGAGGGACTACCGCCTGGAATGCGTACCTGCGCGCATCTATCTATGTCACTACGTGCGTGCTTCAGTGCTTCAACGTGTAGGCACGTATGAATGTGTCCGTTTACGTGTCTATGTCTCTGTGTCTATATGTAGCTATAGCGCTATGTATCTCTTATGTGTCTGTACGTGTCACTTTTCGGCATTCCAAGCGATCCACTTTCCGGCGCTCCAAGCGAACCCCCGACCGTTTAGGACCTATTTAGGGTTGCTTTAAGGTTTGTTGAGGGTTGGTTTTAGGATCTATTTAGGCATGGCTTAAAATATATTTAGGGTCGGTTTACGGTTTATTTAGGCTTGGGTGAGCATCTATGTGGGGCTGATTTGAGGTTTGTTTAGGATTTATCCCAGCTTGGTTTAGGATCTATCTAGAGTTGGTGTAGGACCTATTCAGGATTGGCTTTATTAAGGTGTGCTTAGCGTTGGTTTAAGATTTGTTTCGGTTTGGTTTAAGATCTATTTAGGGCAGGTGTAAGGTTTATTTACGATTAGTTTCCAATATATGTAGGGAGTGTTTAGGGTTTAGGGTTTACTTAAGAGTTGCTTTAGTGTTTCTTTCATTGGTTTGGGTTTCATTGTGGTTGATTTAGGGCTTATTTATATGACGGTTCTTAAGCCTTAAGACTTAAAGATTATCTGCAGTATGAGAAACAACAAAGGAGGGAAAAGCAGGGGTAAGCAGAGAAGCTGGAAAAGCAGAAAAGCAGAGAAAAGCAGAAAAGCGGAGAAGCAGAGAGGCAGCACAGTGGAGAAGCAGAGAAGCGAAGAAGCAAAGAAGCAGAGAAGCGGAAAAGTGGAGACGCGGAGAAGCAAAGAACTATAAAAGCAGAAGCAGGGAAAAGCAGAAAAGCAAAAAGCAGAAGAGCAAAGAAGCAGGGAAACAGAAATCAAAAAAAAAAACAAAGCGGAAAAAAAACACTCCTATAATAAATGGACATGAAAAAGCGTGCCTCTTCCAAAGGTGTTTCTCCTACGACTTCCAAAGATATCCCAAAAGCAATTCGAAGTACAACACATATACAAACACTTTCACCTGCCATAATCCTCACGCAATGTTCCATAGATCGGACAGCCTAACCATGAACTTGTCCAATCAAAATATAGGCCAAGAGTAGGTAGCATACGCGCAGAGGATATCAGCGAACAGGATCAAAGGAGGACCCGTATGAGGGACAAATGAGGGACAACTAGGATTTGTGCAAACATCAAGTTGGAAAGTTCTGTTTCTATGCAGGAATTGAAAATCTTGCATACAGCTTTGCTTTTGTGCGAACAAGTTCTTGCTCGGCTGAAGTCTTCATACGTAAAGCACTCAAGCTCCATACAGTACGCATAAGATCGCATAAGTATGCAAACATTTCACTCTGATTCTCTCTGCATGAAAAATCCTCCTCCGAGCATCGGAGATGAGACTTGAAGAGACGTGGCTGGGACACAGGCTCATCTCCCAAGTCTTGTCCCAAATCCCAGGCGAGCTGGTCCCAAGGTGACACTTGGTATATATCCTGGCCAAGTGTTTGACGGATTGTGAAAGCAAAACACTGCCATATTTCATCACATGTTAGCGGCATCCAGTACTGAGGGTAAAATGGACATTGTCATATTGCAGTATTGTGCACTGCCATCTCCTTTACTGCTGCCATCACTACCTCCTGACAGACATGCAAATCAACCCCGAACATCTCAAACGTCCCATCTGTCCAGCCTGAAAATCTGTGAGGCCCTGAGTACGTACACAATGGCATAGCATCTGTAGGAGCTCAAACTTCTCAGTAAGGACATACTGATGCATTGCAAAAAACTAGACGACGGATGGCCCGAGAGCGTAAAGGAGCAGAGTCTTCTGTTGTTAGTCTGGAACAACACTATATTACAACACAATATATTAAGGATGTATTATAGTCAGACGAGACAATATATCACAAACACAGGACAATAGTTTGCATCGTATCTTTCATATATTTTCTTCACACACAGAACTTTTCACAGACAGACGTTTTTGTACACAGAGACTTTTACACACAGACGCTTTTACGCAAAGACCCTTTTTACACACAGACGCTTTTACACACAGACGCTTTTACACACAGACGCTTTTACACACAGAAGCTTTTACACACAGACGCGTTTACACACAGCAGCTTTTACACCAAGAAGCTTGTACACACAGAAGTTTTTACACACAGACGCTTTTACACATAGCAGCTTTTACACCAAGAAGTTTGTACACACAGAAGTTTTTACACACAGACGCTTTTACACACAGACATTTTTACACACGGAAGTTTTTACGCATAGACACTTTTACACACATAGGTTTTTACACACGGACGTTTTTACAAACAAACGCTTTTACGCACAGATGCTTTTGCACACAGACGCTTTTACACAAACACCTCCGCACGCAGAGACTTTTACACACAGACGCCTTTACACACAGACACTTTTACACACAGACGCTTTTACAGAAACACTTTCACACGCAGAGACTTTTACACACAGAAGTTTTTACGCACAGAGGCTTTTACGCTTTTACACACAGACACTTTTACACACAGATGCTTTTACACACAGTCGCTTTCACACAAACACTTTCACACGCAGAGACTGTTACACACAGACACTTTTACACACAGAGACTTTTACACACAGAAGTTTTTACACACAGACGTTTTTACACACAGAAGCTTTTACACACAGAAGCATTTGCACACAGACGCTTTTACACACAGACACTGTTACACACAGACGCTTTTACACACAGAGACCGGACCCATGATCTCGCAATTTTACCTCAGTTTTTCGCGATCGAACACAATTTTGCGCGAAAGGATTGCGACGGGAACCCGGAAATCGCAATTTTACCTCAGTTTTTGGCGATCGAACCTCATTTCGTGCGAAAGGGTTTGGCGGACAACTTGCAAAACGCAATTTTACCTCAGTTTGGCCATCGAGCCTCATTTCGTGCGAAAGGGTTGCGACCGCAATTTTACCTCAGTTTTTGGCGATCGAACCTCATTTCGTGCGAAAGGGTTTGCCGGAGAACTTGCAAATCGCAATTTTACCACTTTGGCAATCGAACCTCATTTCGTCCAATCGCAATTTTACCTCAGTTTTTGGCAATCGAACCTCATTTCGTGTGAAAGGGTTGCGACGGGAACCCGGAAATCACAATTTTACCTCAGTTTTTGGCGATCGAACCTCGTTTCGTGCCAAAAGGTTCCGTTTCGTGCCGTCTCGTTGGCACTGCCCCGCGCCTTCAAGAGAGAAATAGGAAAGAAGGAGAGCGCACGAGGGCAAGAGGGCAAGAGAGAATGTGAAGATGTGAAGATGAGAAGATGTGAAGATGAGAAGATGTCAAGATGTGAGGATGTGATGATGAGAAGATGTGAAGATGTGAGGGTGTGAAGATGATAAGATGTGAAGATGTGAGGATGTGAGGAGAATAAGATGTGAAGATGAACAGATGTGAAGATGTGAGGATGTGAAGATGAGAAGATGGGAAGATATGTGAAGATGAGAAGATGCGAAGATGAGAAGATGTGAAGATGTTTCACAGACCCCCACTATTAGAAGAACCCTGCGCTCAGACGCTCTCGGGAAAAAGTTTTCTCATGGCCAAAGTTGTGAGGATTCGTAACCTGTCGCATCTTTCACTCCGCTTTGGACCTTGTGCACTTCACCGTATGTCTGCTGGTCTGGTGCCGTACATACATGGACCAACGTCACATGGATGCAATGAAACGTGTGTAGGGCATCACAGCATAATGTGTAAGGTCCAGCTTTCAATTGAATGCAAATTTGTTCACTCTTGTATGTATGTTAATATTGATCAAGTCAACCAATTCTTCACGTATGAGTGCAAATCTGTGTGTTGTGTGTGTGGGTGTGGGTGTCTGTGGAAGCATCATGTTACTGTATGAAAGCTGTACGAGTATGCATGTTGCATGTAGCGCATGTATCGTATATAATCATTCCTATGATTATTATCATGGTCATCATCGTCATTATTATTACCTGCATTTTGATTACCGTAACTATCACTATTGTCATTATTATAATCATCATTCTCATTACAACACACAGACATACATATTACATACATGCATACATACATACATAACATAACAAAACATTACATTACATAACAAAACATTACATTACATAACAAAACATAACATAACATACACACCATACATAACATACACATCATACATTACATACATTACATACATTACATACATTACTTACATTACATACATTACATACATTACATACATTGCATACATTAGATTACATTACATTACATTCATTCATTCATACATACATACGTACGCACATACGTACATACATACATACATTACATACATTACATACATTACATACGTACATACATTACATACATTACATACATTACATTACATGCATTACATTACATATATTACATACATACATACATACATACATACATTACATACAATACATACATACATACATAACACACATAACATACATAACATACATACATACATACATACATACATACATAACTTAACTTAACATAACTTAACTTAACATCACATCACATACACATACACATACACATACACATCATACACATCATACACACCATACATAACATACATTACATACATTACATACGTACATAACATACATACATACATAACATAACATAACATAACATAACATTACATTACATTACATTACATCAAATTACATTGAATTACATTACATACATAAATTACATTACATTACATTACGTTACGCTACGTTACATTACATTCATACATACATACATACCATACATACATACCATACATACATACCATAAATACATACATACATACATACATGCATTCCATTACACTACACTACACTACATTACATTACATTACATACATGCAATACATACATACATTACATACATTACATACTTACTTACTCACTTACATACATTACATACATTACATACATTACATGCATTACATGCATTACATACATTACATACATTACATACATTACATACATTACATACATTACATACAAACATACATACCTACCTACATACCTACCTACATACCTACACACCTACGTACGTACTGTACGTACATACATAACATAACATAATATAACTTAACATGACTTAACAAAACATAACATAACATGGCATAACAAAACATAACATAACATGACATAACAAAACATAACATACATAACATGCATTACACACATTACATACATTACATACATTACATACATTTCATACATTTCATACATTACTTAGGTAAACCCAAAGGGCTTCGTCTATAGGAACCAGATCTGAGGCTAAGAGCCTTACATAAACCAAAGACGTAAAGAACCAACATAAAACAACGTAAAGGCAACATAAAAGCAAACACAAGTGAATCATAAACACATCGGAAACTCATCATAAACAAAACGCAAGTGAATCCACAATAAAACATAAAACGACTCATCAACAAAACACAAATGAATCCACAAACCATTCTGGCAGTCATGTGTCCCAACTGTCGCGCACGTGTTTCCATCTTCTCTGGAGGTGAGCGGAGTTATGTGACACAATGTTTGCTCTGTGTTTCACTTGTGTTTGACATACGCTTTGTTTGCGCAGCACTTGCGTCAGGCAAAAGTCTAAGATCTTATACTGGGAAAATAAGATCTTAGGATTTTGACATACATAAAAAAATACAAGCGAAACACAAACAAAACACAAACAAAAAATAAACAAAACACAACAGGAGCATAAACTTGTTTATGTTTTTTTGTGTTCTGTTTATGGTTTGGTTTATTTTTTGTTTATGTTTGATTTGTTTTTTGTCGATGATTTGCGTATGGCCTTATTTTTTTATGTTTTTTGTGCCTTTTTGTGCAAACAAGCATAAAAAAGCACAAAAAAAACATAAAAATAAGGCCATACGCAAATCATCGACAAAAAAACAAATCAAACATAACCAAAATAAACCAAAACATAAACAGAACACAAAAAAACATAAACAAGTTTATGCTACATGTGTGTTTTCTTTATGTTTTGTTTGTGTTTCGCTTGTGTTTTTTTATGTATGTCAAAATCCTAAGATATTATTTTCCCAGAATAAGATCTTAGACTTTTGCCTGACGCAAGTGCTGCGCAAACAAAGCGTATGTCAGACATATGTGAAACATGTGGGAGACATCAGTTTCACATTGGCTGCAGGTTTGTACCAGGTTTGGATTTCAAATTGGCAACTGCTTGACACAGGGGGGACGGCCAACTCATGTTTCACATATGTTGCAAATTTCACACACATGTTTTGCTTTATGTGTCACTTATGTTTCAATTATATTCCATTTATGTTTCGTTTGCGTTCCACATATGTTTTGTCTTATGTTTGACATATGTTTCATATACGTTTCACATATGTTTCGTTTATGTTTCACATATGTTTTTACTTACGCCTAGACATAGTTTATGTTTACGTCATGCCCCGCCCACCCTCTATAGAAACCATCCCTGGAGCCCCTTTGGATCAAGCTAATACATTACATACATTACCCGTCGGGGGAAAACCGCGCCAGCGTTGTGAGCGTTTTGAAAAAAACAATGTCGTTTTCGCCATAGCGAAACTACTGACTCATTCCCCAAAATAGGCTTAGAATTCCCCGGGAATTTGAAGTGGTTTTTTGATGATGACCTGTAATTTACATGGAATTTGTGTGCTGCGTTTCTTTTTCCACCTGACATCGCCATACGGTTCTTCAAGGCGCGACCAGTGAGCTCCAAAAGACTTTTGGTCTTGGAGTTCATCCAACGCCATTGCCACACCCTGATGCTGCGCATCAATTTTGGGTTAACATGGCCGTTGGATCTGGTCATGAGACATCGCATCGACACCACCTGTGTGAATCAGAATAGTTTTCTTTCTGATTCGTTTCTTTACACAAAACAATCCCCCAAACCCAGTGACGTAACGTCAGCCAACCGGTGTGCATGTGACGCAAGTTAACATGGACGTTAACATCCGCACACCCCCAAACCCAGTGACGTAACGTCAGATGTGCATGTGACGCAAGTTAACATGGACGTTAACATCCCCACCCCCACAACCCAGTGACATAACGTCAGATGCGCATGTGATGCAAGTTAACATGAACGTTACCATCCCCACGCCCCCCAACCCAGTGACGTAACGTCAGATGTGCACGCGACGCAAGTTAACATGAACGTTACCATCCCCACGCCCCCCAACCCAGTGACGTAACGTCAGATGCGCATGTGACGCAAGTTAACATGAACGTTACGATCCCCACCCCCCAACCCAGCCAGTGACGCAACGTACGATGTGCATGTGACGCAAGTTAACATGAACGTTAACATCCCCACCCCCCAACCCAGTGACGTAACGTACAAGTGTATGTGACGCAAGTTAACATGAACGTTAACATTCCCACCACCCCCAACCCAGTGACGTAACGTACGATGTGCATGTGATGCGAGTTAACATGAACGTTGCCATCCCCACCCCCCCCAACCCAGTGACGTAACGTCAGATGCGCATGTGACGCAAGTTAACATGAACATTGACATCCCCACCCCCCTAACCCAGTGACGTAACGTACGATGTGCATGTGATGCAAGTTAACATGAACGTTACCATCCCCCCCCCCCCCAACCCAGTGACGTAACGTCAGATGTGCACGCGACGCAAGTTAACATGAACGTTAACATCCCCACCCCCCTAACCCAGTGACGTAACGTACGATGTACATGTGATGCAAGTTAACATGAACGTTACCATCCCCACCCCCTCCAACCCAGTGACGTAACGTCAGATGTGCATGTGACGGAAAAAAATGTGTGTTTTCAAAAACGGTCAAAACGCTGGCGCGGTTTTCCCCCGCTGGCATACATTCCATACATTACATATATTACATACATTACATACATTACATACATTACATACATTACATACATTACATACATTACATACATTACATACATTACATACATTGCATACATTGCATTACATACATTACATTACATACATTACATTACATACCTTTCATTACATACCTTACATTACATACATTATATTACATTACATACATTACATTACATAGATTACATTACATACATTACATACATTACATTACATACATTGCATTACATACATTACATTACATACATTACTTTACAGACATTACATTACAGACATTACATTACATACATTACATACATTACATTACATACATTACATTACATACATTACATTACATACATTACATTTCATACATTACATACATGACATACATTACATTACATACATTACATTACATTCATTACATACATTACATCACATACAATACATCACATACATTACATCACATACATTACCATACATTACATTACATTACATTGCATTACATTACATTACACTACACTACACTACATTCCATTACATTACATGCATACATATAATTATATATACTTATATATATATATCATATATACATACTGATGATGCATGTGCATGTGAATGCTCACATTTGCTTGTGTTAGTGTGTGTGTCTATGTGTGTGTGTTTGTGTGTCTGTGCTTGTGTCTGTGCTTGTGTCTGTGTTTGTGTCTGTCTGCGCACACATATGCCTGAACCTCTGTATCCTCTGTGTGTCTGCACCACAAATATACTGACACTGCCAGACCATAATGTATGCACATCTTTTTCCATGGCAAGAGAAATCCTCTTGTAACAGGTTGTGCATGTGCGCTTCGTACGGACACCTTTCCTTCTACGCTCGTTGAACCTGCAGTTGCATTACTCCAAAGTGTGTTGATGAACAAAAATTGGACGGTAAACACACGTTGCAAAGTACGCATCAATGGAGGGATTTTGTCCTACAGATGTTGCGTGCCCAGGAACCTGTCTTTGGAGCTGTGACTATAAAGACATCGCCTGAACTCGAAGAAACAAGTAGCATCAGTAGCATCAGTAGCATTCAAGCAGATTCGAATAAAACGTGACTGCATCGGACACACAGCGACCAATCGCCATATTATTAGGAAGCTTTGGTTGCGCTTTCCTAATGCTGCCTGAGGGCTGCTTCGAGGGATGTATGCTGCTGCCACCCGGCATGCCTCCTGTATTGCATCCACAAAGCTGAAATGCACATGAACACTTTCTGCACAGGACGCATCATACAGCTCTTAGAAATGCATTGAAGCAGTTCTTCACTTTTTGCAAAAAAAAAAAGCACATTCTCTCATTCATCATTTTGCACATTGCCTCTGAGAAGGCAGAATGGCAGTGTGGGGGATGCTTGCCAACCCGCGCAGTCAGCTTGTCTCTGGATTCCCTAGCAAACAAATGCAAACAATGGTGGCTGAAAATACAGTTGCAACATGGTGGGTTTGCCGGGGGGGTTTGCCGTGAGTCGGAATGAGTTTGCAAGAAGGGTAACATATGTTAAGATCATGTATGTCCATTCGCGGCCGTTTAGTAGGAGGAAATTTCATGGTATTTTCAGTGTTTTTCATTGGTTTCACATTAGCATTTGCAAGATGTTTGCATGATAAGGGATGATTGTTTGAACCAGGTTCATGTTTTGCGAACAAGATTTTTTCGCGGGATCCCGCGGAAAAATTAGCAGGATTTTTGAACTTGTGATTTGTTGGAAAGAGAAATAAAGTTGTGTGTTTTATTGAAACAGCATAATTAGATTTCCTTCGGAGCCATGTTGAGTTTCGATGAATTGTTCGAATGTTTGGTGCTATTGTTCGATGAATGGTTCGAACGTTATTACTCCCCCCCATGTTTTTGTTTCGACCTAATACCTACAGAGGTACATGCATGAGTATTGAGCACATTTATATGCGCCCTTCAAGGCTCAAGAGGTATATAGAGTAACCCTGTGGACAAGCACTGACCGGCAACAGGCTGAGAGTAAAATAGTGCTGTCATTGGGGAAGACGCCTTAGCTGATCTTGAAGTAGACGCTAGGGCCCCTCTTCACCCCACCCCCCAACCCCCCCCACCCCCCCACACCCCACGGACAGCTATTCCAATGTTGGATAATGAGTTCTATGGAACGCAAGCTGCCTGAACGTTATTACCCCCCCACCCCCCACCCCCACCCAATGGTCACGAGCTCAGAAACTTGTTTGCTTCGGCAAACCCCTACGGTTGACCCAACATGGTGCAACATGGTGCAACAGCTGAGAAAGGCTGATGTGGAAGTGCAAAAAGACTTGGCGGCCTTCGTCGACGGTGCCTCCAGCAAACCAGCACCACAACCACCACAAACACCAAGATCTGCCTCCATACATCTCACACACTCAGACCAGCATGGAGCCATTTCAAAATGTGACCAACATCGGGATCAGTCTTCAATTTGGGAGACAGTTTTGCATTGCAGACCCTGGGTCGTAACAATTCATCATGTACAAATACAGAAGAAAACAGTAGCAAGACTAATTTCACCATGTCAAAGAACAAGCACTGTATCTGCGACAGCACTGAGCAGACCTTGATGTCTTCGGTTCACCCAGTTCAAGCACCATTCCAATTTTCAGCGTCCATTGCATTCAAAGCCATCTGCATGGTTGATATCAACTGCTATCAGCCATTGAAGTGTTTTAAAGGAACTTGTGCGATGTTGTCCAATTGCTTCTTTACACCAAATACAATGTGTAGTCCCCATTGAGTTAGCTGCTTGCATCATACCAGTATCACGTGTAACATACATATCTTTTGAAACAAGGTGCTTCGCAACACGAGGATGAGACTGCGATTGAGCGGTAGATTACAGTATGATTTTTGTCAAATGATAAAGCCGAAATCTGAAAGCAGCTAGCATCGTTCCACGTCGAGCAAACATGAAAGACATGAAAGAAAGATGGACTCCACGTTGGACAAACAGCGTCAAGTCGGGTCCCAACCTCCAAACACAGCACTCCAGCACCCTCACCCATTACGAAGCCGTCGCGTCCCTGCAAGCGGAATGAAATAGCGATGAAAGTAGAGGCAGGGGCACCATAAGAACCCTGCCAACCTATGGTACAAGACATGGCTTCATTGCACTATTAGAGCCAGCCGCGTCTTCGCGTCGCCCAAAATTCACCAAGGCATCATCTCCAGAACATCGTTGGCCTTGTCCCAGGGCCGAGAAGCTTTTTCAGGCTCATCATTTCGTGATGAGAGTGCCTGCGCTTTCAGGGAGTAGCCATCAGTCGGCACATTTCGATATTCTTCGCACAAATGCAACAAAACAAAAAGATGCCATTCTTAGACGCGTTCGTTTGGCCTTGCAGCCAATGAAACCAGCGATGCCTTGCTTCGCAGAGACTTGCAGTTTCGAATTCCAAGCTTTTGCAGCTACATGTTTTGAAAATAGCACAGTCATGTATAATCATAATATGTATGTGTGTATATATATATATATATTATTATTATTATTATATTATATATATATATATTATTATTATTATTAGTATTAGTATTAGTATTATTATTATTATATATTATTATTCTATATATTATAAACAAATGGACGGAAGAATTCAATACCCAACCTGCTCGTGTGACTGATGCTTCTGCACCGCCAGCCAAGACCAGATCACACTGACAGCGCAAAAATATCAAGAAATGCGATGATGTAGTAGTCAAACCTAGCTTTGCAAACCGCTGATTCTTTGAACATTTTCCAGTTTTTCAATAGAAACCAAGCTTGAAGACGATGGACACAGCTCAGTCCAAATAATTCAAGAGTCTGCAGAGCAATTCAAGCAAACACCACATTGCAAGACATGCTTTGAAGACAAGTACAAATGCATAGGCCTAGGCTACAAACAAACCACTAGCCTCAAAAAGTAGGCAATATCTCAAGACTAAAGTGTGCCTCTCCCTTCTCAATATGGGAAGCAGCAGAAGAAATGCAATAATTTCCAGTAGCACCTTAGCCCAAACGGGAACCCACCAAAGGGCAGGCTTGACCTTTCACATTTTGTTTGTCTCTGCCAAGGCATGTCATTCTTAGCTCATTGCACGCCGTGACCACCGCATAATTGGGTCCTCCGGGTGGTTAGCTCTCCGCAAAAACTTTGCAAAAGAAGAAAACCACAAGAACACGTTGGAAGTGAATCAAACAGCAGAAAGCAATCAAGATCATCAACGAACGCGCACCTTGAAATCCGAGATCAATAGCAAGAAGACCACCCGGAACATTGACCAAAGTGTACCTGGTTCACTACGTATATCAAGCATGATCAGATTCTATTGCATTGGTTTGTGCACAAGGGTGGAGTAGGCATGGCACGGAACAAAGAATGGCGAGACCTTCTTCCCCTGCAACGCCATCTTTGCAAACTGCGATCAACTATATAAACCAATCTAAACCAAAGCATTTATGTTTGTCATTGCTGTGTGGCTGTGTGGCTTTTTGGGTCCTTTTTTGCTTCGATCGCTTGGAACGACTCAGAACAATGCAAAAAAAACACACTCGTTGTCCTTCAGCAACTTGTCCATATTCTCCATGGAAGTCTGCAGAGAAGTTCCACCCATGGCAGATCCAATCAGAATCCCACACCTGACCCCGATCTGAATGCAACAAATTGGAAAAGTCCAAGGCAGATCAAAGGCCCGAGACAAAACCAGTTTGGCACAAAAACACAACAATCATCAGACAATATCAGACACATGTCACATCAAACCAGAATGAGTTCATACTCTCGCAGTTGGCAAGTCACAGAATGCCACAGCACAGCGTGCCTCTCTTTCTGCAATTCTTCAAAAGCATCGGAGCCTTGCGCTAGGCCAGCATCCTCCAAGGCCTAACAATGGCGGCCGTGATGTGGAATCCTCAACTTCTCAAAGAGAATTTATCAATTTCCAATGATATTCGAAGACAGTGAGCCCTCCATAAAATTGTCTAACAGGGCTTCTGGATGGAATGCATTTGGCAACGCTTTAAACTGGAAATTGTTTTTCTGCATTTTGCCCGCCTTCTTGCCACTGACAATAGTGAACTTCACCTCAGACTATTTTGCTGTTGATACAGTTGATACCCATGTTGCGAATTTGAAAAGTTTCATCTTCAACCTGTCTCAGGGAAGAGCCACATCGTCCATTCGGCGCTCGCTCTTTTTGTCCACATATCCTATGGCCTTCCCAAGACCATGCACAAACCCCAAAACGAGGAAGCGAAATGTGACCAGAAAAAAAATGGTGAAGAGTGATCCCAGAAAACAAATTCATTCACGCATTACAATTGCGGCAAGAAGTGTGTTTTTGTTGTTTCTTATTTCGTCCATTTGCTTGTTGTGTTGAGACGCCCAATCAAACAGTATGTATGCCTCTGGTTTGACTAAAACTATACACAGCTGAGACAGTAGCAATCCCTGCAAGGCGAAACTAGTGGTTGGAGGTAGTTCACTTAAAACAACCAGAAATATGAACACGTTCCGTTCGTGTTTGGAAATGATGGCATGAAAATACATAAAACCAATTCTGCTGCGGACGCTCCTGATATTTTGAGATATCTCCTGTGATATCTCCCAACATTTTTCCTGACATTTCTCCTGACATTTCTCCTGACATGTCCTAATCTCTGACACTTGCATTTGGGCTGGCAACACTCAGCCCCTCCTTAAAGTCAGCGATCTGCGCAGCTATCTGCGTGCTGAGGCCCTGCACCATCGAAACTGCAATTCACTACCATCATAATAATACTATTACTAATACTGACAATAAATACAATAATTAGATATAAATAGATATAAATAGATATAAATAGATATAAATAGATATAAATAGATATAAATAGATATAAATAGATATAAATAGATATAAATAGATATAAATAGATATAAATAGATATAAATAGATAAATAGATATAAAGAGATATAAAGAGATATAAATAGATATAAATAGATATAAATAGATAATCGTTCCATATCGTTCCATCCCACCTCCGGATCAAATTTTGTAATGCGTTTGATGGCCTCGTCACTCGAAAGGCAGGAAATATATAGGAAATGTTTGGCAGAGCTGAGCACCAACTGACCAACTGAGAGCAGAGCTGATTTACCATCAAGTAAATTTTCGTAAAAGTCCTTCCCAGATTTCCCAGAGCAAACCAGTTTTTGATGTTTTTGCCCAGGTTTACTATGTTTATTTACTGCACATCATCCTACTACTTTTGCAAACACATCTTTCGCAACACAACCTTCCCAAAGCACTTCAGGCAAGGTGGCAAGCAATGTTCCCGCACGCTGAGTCCTCTTTGTCCGTGCCGAAAGGACTAACAACACCCATGCCAGTCACAACAACTCGTTGGCCAGCTGAGTTTCCTGACAAATTGTTGACTTGAACCAATTTTTGAGTAATGTACAAATCGTTGGCCAGCAATTTACTTATGTACATTGTATGATTTGTGAACACGATGAAATGTTTGTCCAGCCTGCATGCATGGATACACGCCGTTTGTGCCGACCAAAATGCCTGTCTGAGAATTCCATTGTGAGTCCCCAAAGTGAAAATTCAAAACCGACCATCGAAGCGGTTCAACGCACAAGGTTTCGTCCAGTACTCAACTCAGACTCTACTGCGGGCCTGGCAGATGTCAATAATGCAATTGGCACAAGCACGGCATGGGTTTTGGTGGAGAAAACCTGGCAAACATCATGTCAATTTAAACCACTCATTGGTCTGACCCATTGGTTTTTGTTTTACAAAAAAAATATGCACTGCCCGAATTTTTTCGCCTGCCCCGCTGTAGCACGTTCTGAAAGTCCCAAACGTGGACGCCCTTCAAACGCCTGCGATCGGAGCAGATTTTCTGCACTTGGAGTTATTGCATGTTCATCAACAAACATAACACTTTGAACTCCAATTTAAAATCAACGAAACAAATTACAAAACAATCAAACAACAACGTTTTCCAATTTTCAGCCCTTCCCTATAGTTGTCATTTGTTTTTTAGTTCAACTGAATTTAAAACATTCAACCAGCACCATGAAAATGCATGGCATCGAAAAACGGTGGCAATTTTCCCAACCTGAATTCCACAGCGCTGGTTCAAGCCAACTGGACGGAATGCAGGCACGGGCGGATCCATCATGATGGAATCGTAGAATCAAATACCCAATTTTTGTGCAATTTGTTTTCACACATGATGCGGGCATACAACACATTGCCATGTGCTGTGTCCATGTCGGCAGCTGACAACTACAATGCGATCAACTTGCGTCACTTCAAAACGCAAAACAGCTACAGCACCAAAGTTCATCAGATTTTGCGTCGCGAAAACATTTTTTTGTATAATCTACACTATATCCGTATATCCAGCTCTATTCCTATTCCGATTCGTACTCCTATACCCCACCTTATACCTATTTCATACCTGTGCCTGTGCCTATACTTATACCTATACCTGTACCCATACCGATACCCCTATAACTATGCGTATGCGTATGCGTCTACCTAAAGGTATTTGAACGCCTTCAAATCTACCTATACTTATATCCATATCCATCTCCATATCAATATCTCAATATTATATATACGTATATATATTATTTATGTTTACATATTCAATCGCACTGCAAGACTGCGGTTGTTCTCGCAGCACATTTTTTTTGACTCGAAATGTAAAAATCATGGAAAAGATACTTCAATTCACGTTAGTTATCTCCCATTTCGATGGAGGCAAGCAACTGCCTGCCCTGCCCGCCCTTTCTGGGTTCGGTTTCGCGTCCCGCGGTGCGGGACACATCTGGTTAGGATTTGACAAAACATTTTCGGTTCGCCACTGGCAGAATTTCACCGCGTGATACCACGACCCGTCGTGTGGCGGGAACAATCGCAACAATTTTCAAAGTTACACTGTGGTTGTTTGTAAAATTGTTTTACTTCCAATGATCCGCACCGTGGCAATTAGACAATTGTCCAGAGTTCAGGCATGCAACCAAACAACAACAAGAAACAATTGCCACAATGGCAATCGCATCCGCAGCAGTTGTTTCACCCATGTGACTGCGCATAGTTGTTTGCAGCCGCACTTCTCCAATGAACCTGTCATGTGGCTGATAAGTTGCAAGATCACACCCTCCGAAAAACCAAGCCTTTTGCCTTTTGCAAAGATTTTTCTGGCAAAATTGCTGGCAAAATGCTAAATGCAACGGTACCTGCGCTACATCACATGCAAGCAGCATGCTGACCACATTGCCCTGACATCCGATTCAAATCGATTTTCTGTGGCGAAAATATGGCAACCAATTTTTCATATCATATATTGTCATTATTTCTGTGTTTCTATCCGACTTCTGTTCTGGCACACAATTCTTACATAGTTTTTGACATATCATCTGGAAGCACAAACTGATACATG